GTATCTGTAACTGAAGGCCATATGCAGGGCCTCCTGCAGGGCCATATTCCATGATACTACATTGAGTTTCACCAGGAAGACTTCCAGGCCAAAAGCCGCCACATCCTCGAGTCTGACGCCATGGTCCTGAATAGCGAAAGGCGTCCATCAGCCAAATGGATTGGAGGATGCTGGTGTTCACAGGCCTTGAGGGATCACCTCAGTGATACAGGCCACAAGAATAGAAACCGAGTTCTCTAGCGGACTCCTCACCCGCCAAGCAATGAAAACATGATGGCGTCTTGTATGACTCATGGAAGGCAAGCTAGCATTGTTCCGCAATCATCTGTGTATGGGCCCATCCGAGCTGAGAGCCGTTGCTCCAAGCTGCTGCTCCATCCCAAGAGTGGTGAGGCAATCAATCTCAAGCGTCCACCCCCAGCCAATCCTCGACTCAGGAAGACACAAAGCTGCTCTATAGACACAAAACTTTCGGCAAACACATGTTTTTAGAAACAGTTCAGAAAACACAAGTTTAGCTGAAGCTCCGGAAGCGCCCAAATTGATTGAAAACTCGAACCTCAGAAATCAACTTGCTTCTCTGTTCTGCTGGAAAAGACTTCGGAGTAGCTTGTGAAAATGGTTTGCTTCCTGTTAGATGCAGCAGCAGCAGCAGCAGCAGCACACCAATACGACCGAGAGCACAAGTGCAACCAGGTTCAAAGAAAATGCTGTATTTTGCAGGCAGCAGTAGTGGTGGTCATGGTGAAATCTCAAACCTGGCGAGACATGCCAGGTTCCTTGGCTACACCTCATTTAAAAGAAACGCACCTACGCATTTAGTTCAATGATAATGACTGTTTGACTGTGTTTGGTCTAATGTTCTATTATCATCATGATTTCACAAAGGGTGCTGTGCATCTACACTTGCAGTACTTGCATGTTATTTTGTGTGTTGCCTGTGTCTCTGCTGTTTCTACTACTGTGCGCTGCTGCGGGTTGCAAGTAATTATTGTCTTAGGCTGTTCTGTTGTTCTGTGTCTATCACGGCTTTGGATTGGTAGCTGTCAACACTGACGTCGACACTGACTGCAGTGCTACAGGCGCTACAGGCAGGGTGTCCAGGGAAGTGTTGCTTGCGAGGTCACGAGTCTGTCCGCGTCCCTTCACACAAGAACATCACTAACATCACTGGTCCAAAATGCTTGAGTGTGCAGAACACTTGCAAGGAACTCATGAAGACTCTCTGCCATTGACACGTCAGTTGAATTTCCTGCACTGACTTGAAAGGAGTTTATGGACGTCGATGCTGACTCCATGAAGGCGAAGTCTCGCAGGTAGTGCACCCAATTTTCAAAGCGCTGGATCTCCAGCCAGCTTCCTACCTGGGACATCCAGCTGTGCAGCTGGCCTTTTCTAAGTAAAGGTCGTTGGAGCATTTCATATGAGAATCCACATGCCTGATGGTAACATTGGCTATTAAAGAGAATCATGGACCAACAAGAGTATCTTGACTTTGCTTTCGCCCATGCGTTTTCAGCATTCCAACTGAAACAATAAGGTGGGGCACGATGGGTTGATGAAGAGGTGTCAAAGAAATGACCAATAAATGGAAACAACACATTCACAGTCGTATGATGTCATATGTACCTACATAATTACATGATATTATATAGTAATACAGTAATACATGTATACATTCACGATCCCAGCAATGATGAAGCATGCCAAGTCAAGTCAAAAGAAGGTGAGGAGTAGTGTCTTCATTTTACTGCCATCATTTGTGAACCGGCCACAAACAACTGGGACAAATACCATTCATACAAAGCTTATGAAACTATGTAGACTGTGTGCAACAATATGCAACACTACACAAACACCAGGATATGGAGGAAGATCTGCCAAACCCTTCCGTTTCAGAGTCCCAGCTACATAAGTGCGCGATGCAATCAAACTCCAAGTTGTACTGGTGTTGGAATCCACAATCGGATCAACGGGCCAGTCCACCACGAAGGAATACGCAGTGTCGGAAAACCTGGACTCGGTGCAAATGAAATGATCCATGATCCAGGAAATGACTGTAGAATCTAGAGGGAGGAGCAAACACAGAGGAGCAAACACAGCTGGCCCCACTTTGAAAGTCTGGACCAATCCAAGCTGCAGTGCGGATCGCAACAAGAGAAACAAGTAGCCGGTCACCATCTCACAGCTCTGCAATGCTAAGCCCTCCGAGAGTTCACGCACATTGCCTTGGCTGTCACGGGCACAGCTGAGGAGTTGGCTGCGCCTCTATCAACAAAGAGAAAGCTCAACAAGCTCAGGAGCTACAGTGAGCATAGCTTTGTGAATGACTTGCAAAGATGTCAGCATTGTCGTTCCAGAGTTCAAGACGATATGACTCTTCTGTGGAGCCATAGAGTCCATGCTCAATGGTCAGGAAAGAAACCAGGATCGGAGAGGTCGTGGGCTGCAGGTAGGGAGCAAACACCACGAACCGTCCTTGCACAAATGATGGGAAAGCTAGGAGAAGCAAAAGGCTGTCAATTATGCTGAACCATGTAAATGGGTTCTGAGCTGTGAGTTGTGGTACATGTGGCAAGGCAGAATGCTCCAATGACTTTCAACATTACCATTCATTGATGATGTTGCCGTCCAAACCCATTCTGCTTTTGCTTCTCTATATAGAGTCCATAGAGCTTTGCCCATGCCTTGGTGTGTGTTTGTGAATTCCATTGCTTCGGACAACAGGGGTACTTTTCGTATACGCAGCACACTGCCCCTTTTTCAGCTGCTCCGTCCTGAGAGACCTGGCGCTCCGAGGGTCGTGTATCGAAAAAACATGGCCTCTAGAGGATTGCCGGCCAGATCTCGCACCAGGTCCTAACCATGTCAAATCTGGCCACGGGTCCAGCATCATTTGTTGATGACATACACGAACGTCTTGTGAATCTTGTGCACATACATAAAGCAAGAAAAAAAAAGCGGTAATCAATCACTTCGCGGCAATCAATAATTTCACCAAAGTTCAGATTGGAAAACCAAGAGATATTCCTCCGCTGGCCGCAACGCTCTCCGCGGTTGAATGAAAATGGAACGATTGGGCGCTGCTCCACTGGAGAGGAAAAACACCTGTCCATCCGCAAAGTCCAAGTAGCGAACCTGTCGCAAAAAAATGTGCGATAAAAATGTGAAAGCATTTGAGGTACGGAATAAGCCCAAAACTGATCTCGCATCAAGTTCTTGAGCTTTTTGTTTGGTCGTGTGATAAGGCTTATATATATTAATATATAATATATATATATATATATCAGCACCAAAAATCCTTGAGGCCGAGGGTTTGTGACGAAAGCTAGCAGGGCGGGGGTGAAGCAGGTGACAGTCGAGACGTCCCAGGGAGGAGTTGAACCCCGAGGAGGGCCCACCAAAATATGAAGTGTCCACGCGATGCCGCACTTTCGTGGATTCCAGCCCCTCACTTGACATGTTCCACTTTCATTTCAATGAGTCAATGAGTCGGAGTGAACATTCTGGCAGCCTAGATGCATCCCCTTCAGCCAAAAGCTCCACTTTTCCAGCGCCGATCAGAATCAGCTCGGAAAACTCAACATAAAACGTGGCGTCCAGTGCCTAGCCACTGCGCGAGGTCCTATCAAAGCCTCCCTCATGGTGGAACTAGGTCTGTGGCTTAATGCAGATTCATTTTGAGTCTAGGAAAATCAAAGCCTTTCAAAACGGTGGAATGAGATGCCAAAGACTCAGTGAGATTGGGAACGGAAATGCTTGATACGTCTGGGCTGTTGTGGTCAACGATTGCCAAGTCATAGTCATAGCCTGGGACATCAAACGAATCGCTGTAACACTAACGTCTGAAAAGTGCAGGGACCCTTGGCTATACACAATCAATCGGAAAACAGAAAATGCTACGCTGCTACTCCCATCGAGCGACTGACATAGTCCAGGTCTGCAGTTGCGCAATGAATCAGAAGAACCAGTTTCCATCTGTCCAAGTGCATGCCATTCTCCACATTCAGCCAGTCCAAGTCGTCACAGAATGCGACATGGCTCTACAGTCGAGGCTCTACATGCATGCGACAGCGCTTAGAAATCACACACGAATGCAGAGGTTTCATGGACTTTTGTGACTGTGCAAACGGTGCACGTCTATGGCTTCCTAGAGAACCCTGGTTTCACATAGCTTCACGGTTCACGTGGTGGTTCCCCCCCATAGCCTGTACACAAGGGCATCGCTACTAGTAGCTAGAAGCTATGCTAGTAACAAGTGCATCGCTACTAGTAACAAGGGCGTAAATTGCCATGTTCACCTGTTGGCGAGAAGAAACGATCTGCGCTTGGACGGCGACGGCCCGCCAAAGGAACCGTAGCATGCTGCCCATTGGAGTGGATCCAGCAAGGTTTGGAGGGATGCAACCGAACATGTTCCACCTGTCTCAACAGATTCACAATTCTGAATGTGTCGGTGATTTTATGCAGATTCAGGTCTAGATTCTGCACTTTGCTCAGCACTCTACAGTAGCAAAAGAAAATGCGAGGTCGGGCAGCTTCTTATGTTCTTGGCTGGAAGTGCATCAAGCTGAGCTCAGTTTCTCCAGGAAACACACCCATCCCAGCTTGGAGAGTTAGTTACGGCAACTCTGAAACATTAGTGCGATGCCAACGCAAATATATATCAAGACGTGACATTGGCCCATTGGCTGTCAGTCAACCAGTCCTATATATATATATAGTATTATAGTATATGTTTTACACATACGCATGTTTATCATGTTTATACTATATACACAGAAGGGTTGCCCAAAGGGCAGCGTCTGTATGGTTCAATCAGCACAATCTGCATCCATGAACTTGTGTCATGCATGTTCACCAGGCCAGGGTTTTAGGTTTGTGCAAATCTTCAAGCCTACTTTGCGCATCCGTTATGCAGTACACAACAGCCTTCAACTCCACCGCCATAGCTCGCCCAAAAATGAGAAGTGCAAGAAAAAAATCACGCCATTGCCGGCCTGCAGCTTGCTCAGGCTTCTCAAATGGGACTCCAACCGGCTCCTGGCAGCGTGCAATGTTTCTTGGAGCCCTTGTTACTAGTAGCTTCTAGCTACTAGTAGTACTGCCCTTGTTGCTAGTAGCGATGCCCTTGAGACTACTAGCTTCTAGCTACTAGTAGCGATGCCCTTGTTACTAGTAGCTTCTAGTTGCTAGTTGCGATGTCCTTGTTACTAGTAGCTTCTAGCTACTAATTAGTAGTAGTGCCCTTGTTACTAGTAGCGATGCCCTTTCCTTGTAGTTTCTAGCTACTAGTATTGGCCTTGTTACTAGTAGCGCTGCCCTTGTTACTAGTAGCGATGCCCTTCCCTTGTTACTAGTAGTTTCTAGCTACTAGTATTGGCCTTGTTCCTAGTAGCGATGCCCTTGTTACTAGTAGCGATGCCCTTCCCTTGTTACTACAGTAGTAGTTTCTAGCTCCTAGACTCCTAGTATTGACATAGTTACTAGTAGCGATGCCCTTGTTGCTAGTAGCTTCTTAGAGCCCAAAGCCTTGACGGCATGTCATGGATACTCAGGATACTCATTTTTGCTGCCACAAATCAGATCGATGCTCATCGGAGCTATCGAAGGATGCCAGTGATGCCAGCGAAAGCGTCCAGGTGGGTCCACCAAATAAGGTGGAGAAATAAAACGAAACACCAGGTAAGGACTACGAAACCAAGGTGTGGGACCTGATGTTCGCGGACTTCGCCGGAAAAACCGATGTTCCGACATGTTCCGACGTCGATCCCGGAGTTTCGAAAGAAGTGGGGTCTGAGGTCAGAGGTCCCCGCTCCAAGCTTTGGGAGCACTAAAAACTGCTGAGCTGACATGCTTTGGACAGCTCATTCAGCGAAGGGAGAGTGCATGGATCAGTGAGATGGGTCATCAATGCAAAAAGGGAGGCCGCAATTCTCTACCATCTTGGTAGAGCATGATCAACAAAAGGTTTTGAACGCACATGTCACACGGTGTTGAAGTCCCTCGGCCTTAGATTCGACCCAAACCAAAAGGACTCTCTGCAACATTCGCAGAATCGGCAGCGACATCCGTGCTGAGACCATCTGGCTCTGCAGCTTCGCTTTCAGTCTCGACCTGACACCCAAAAGCAAGTCAGGCAATAAAAGCTGGTGAGGTTCTTTGAACAGTGAGAGCGCCTTGCCTGCAAACCATGGGAACCGAAGGTAGATAGACAAAATGCATTGCAACTATTTTGAGGCAAACGTATACATGTCAGTACGTGTGTGGTAAATGACTTGAATATGCTACACGAATACTTCTATCATGGATACTCGAGGGATCTCGAGGGTGTGGCGAATTGAACTTGGAAAATGTTTGGTGAAGATTTGAACGTAAATATATCCTGACAACGTGTGTTTCAGTTTGACTGTAGGGAAATATCACGAAGAAATAGACAGTTTTTTTACGTCGAGGACGTCAAAATGCGGCAACACGGCAATGCCTCATCATCTGCAGTCCTTGGAACCCATTCAGTGATACTGTGCCACACAAAGGACAACATCTGTGAAGAGAATGCTGCTTGACTCGCCCTCAAGTCAATGCACTTTAAAGGGTTTTAAAGCACACTCAAGTGCACTTGGCAATTCTTTTAACTTAACTTAACTGATACATGATGCAAACACACAACCAAACGGACGAATAGAATTCCAGCCCGGCGTATACAAGAACCACCAATACGTGCGCACACGCACACACTTAGATACAGTAGAGAGCTCAACTGAATGGGCATTCATTCCGTTCATGACTCGCAGGTGCAGCAGCCCTTTACAATCTAGTTACTGCAAGAACGACCTCAACTGACCTGGCAATGGCCCTGTGCAAACAGCAAGGTGAAAGGGTCAAAAAACAGTATAGACCACATCATTGACTGAATGCAGGTACGCCAGGCTGGTCTGGTATCACCACCAATTGCAAGTGTCTTCGTTGGCACGAGACTTGCAATGGTGCTGCTGCCCCCTGCGGAAACCCATAAACCGCCTAACAAATGCCCTTTGGGACAGGGTGTAACACACACACACAGACAAACAAACAAACAAACAAACAAACAAACAAACAAACAAACAAACA